GATTTGTCCACTTGCTTGACTTTTAAGCATCTGATTGGTCGTTAGGCCACCAATGAAGTGCGTCCATCAGTTAATTTGCCAGCTAACAAGTGGTGCTTGAAATGAGGATTAACGGATGAGTTAAGGTTTCTTTTACTCATTGTTGTTAACAAATACTTTGATTTTGATTATGAACAAGAGTGTATTCTAACTTTGACGATAAAATGCCTTCATACTGGTGCACGTTTTTCGTTGGACCGATGGATAAAGTAGTCACAAGGGAATGTTTCTTAACGGATGTGAGCCACCAATTCACTTAACCCGTGGCACAATGGGATAATATTCACACGTCAGAGAAAGGAGCATGAAAAGTGCGGGTCAATATATCTGCCATTTTCCAAATTTTTAAGCAATTAACTAGTTTGTAATTAAGCATTAAGCATTTCAAAGCATCACTAACATCTAAAAGGTTGTGAATCGGTTTGATAAAATGACAAGTCTTTGACCGAGTGATGAGTCGCCTCGTTGTGGCTGTAAATAACGCACAGTTGTGGTACATTATCTAGTGCAATCTTGGGTCTGTTAAACCATTTGCCGAAAGAGAACCTACATCATCATTACAAAGCAATTAAGCAAAGCCTATTGTTATTATGAGAAGACAACTGTTGGAAAAGTTAGAATTTTGAATGTGTGTCGGTTTGGACAGGTCAAAAGCGATAGAATGAAGGGATCTTTAACACCCTTATAACGAGAACCAAGCTAGCACCTAATACTTTTTAGCAGCGTGTCAGTATCTCACATCCTCCCTTGAAAAAGTATGCTCTGCCCTTTAAGTCTTTTTTGGTCAAAATTTTACCTATACCTCATTCATTTAGGAACTAGATGTTAAAGTTTTAGGCACCTGAAAATGGACGAAAAAGTGGCCTGCGGAGGATAAAGTAGTGTAGAGTTACGCCTAATCAGAATCAAGGAAGACTATCCCATTGCGATGTCAATGGTCGTAGGTTTATTGGGCACGCCTTCGTGCTAAACCTT